TATTCCCCAAAGATAAACTTAAAATAACCCTTTTTACTCTAAACTTTTTAAATTTGGATTCATCAGGGCTTAGTGCTGCAAAAATCAGTTCTGTGAAAACAAAACTTCTTCAAAAATGCTTGATATGTAGAATTTCTTTGAGAACTGAGTTTTAAACCTTATTGAGGATAAGTGTAGCATACAGAGAAGAATTGATAAAATACATGTCAAATATTTTATTGATCAGGTTGTATTTAAAAATGGAAAGCTCCTTTGGAGAGTTATGAAGAAGTCTATTGTTTTTCATGCCAAAATGACTTTAGAGATGTTTCTAATAATAATTTATTGCCTAGATTCAATTGTGAGTTAGAAGGTTTACCACAGCTGCATTTAACATTTGCCTCCCTGGGGAGAGAAGACCAGTGTATTTCTTTTTGGAAAGTGTGAAGAATCTGGAACAAAACTCAGTTGATCCATGAGTATCTGATACTTCAGGAGAAATGTACTAATTATGTGGCACCCACAGCCAACACTGGCCACATCAATAAAAATGGTGCGCTGAGGTTGCAGTCTCTTTAGAAATGTAGTTCTTGATGTTTAACAAATCAGACTTTATCCTGCTGCTTCTGATCAGCAGAGATTCTAACTATGTCGTAGCACAGTCTAGGAACATATGCCAATTTCTATTTACCATTTTTAAAGTTCCATAGAAATTAGTCCATTACAAAAAGAAGAATACTCATATGTAAAATATTTCTCTCAATTAAATGTGAGAAATGTAAATTTTATAAGAGCATTATTTATTCAGGTTTATTTCTAAAAAGATTTGGGTTTTTTTTCATATTCAGATTAATAAAATCATTTTCTCATTCAAAAATATAAAAATAAATATAGGCACACGTAATGGGTTGAAATTCATAGAAATATTTGGTGAACTCTGGTAATAAATGCTAAAGACAAGTACATATAATTCTATGATCAGACAAATGTGGGTGATTTATAGATACTTATACATAAATATATGTTCATGAGTATACATGTGTGCAAAGATACACGTGAAAGTATCATGAAAACATGTTGCACATCCCACATGTCAGTGCTGATCATGATGCTCCAGTGTGTTGTACTGATCAGTTTCTGCTGCCTATCCAAATGCCTACACAAACACCTTATAAAGAAAGGAAATTTATTGAACTACATTTCTGGAGACTCAGGAGCATGGTACCAGCATCTGCTCAGTCCTGGTGAGGACCTCACAGCAGATGGAATCACAAAGGTAGAATCACGTACAGAAGAGACCACAGGGCAGAAGAGGGAGCAAGAGACAGTGGAGACAGCTGCATTGTTCTCATGGGAACTAATATAATCCATCATTAATCCCCTCCTAGTGACCCCCACATGACCAACCACCTTGTATTGCACCCACTTCTCAAAGGTTTCACCACCCAGCACATCACACTCAGGCAAAAATTCGAACACATGGAACTAGGATTGGAAACATAAATCACATCCACAAGAGAGAAATGCTAGAATTGTTTGAAATCCTTTATTTTGATTCTATTATCAACAACACGGGAAAATACAGATTTGAAGTATATAGCATTTTTGAAGTCAAATATGAAACAGATGATGTTGAATGATTTCATTTTTGTTAAGTGGAAATCATTGAAACTGATCTCTCCAGTTAAAAGTCACATACTGATCACTCTTGGGAACACATACAGGAAACAGGAGTCATACAGACTATGGCTTTCTTTACCATGTAGCAGCTGCTTGCACAGGTGCATTCATTTTGTGAGATTTTATTAGAAATGCATGCCAACCCATACATATAAACGTTCCAAAGATACATAAAACTAATTCAATAATAAGTAGTAAAATAAAATTTATTAGTACCCAATGTTTTAAATGACCAAGGCAAACAGTAAATAAAGTGTAAATTCTAATTATCTTATGACAAAAAATATTGCATTGTGATAATGACAGCCCAGAAATCAAAAAATTCAATATAAGTTGTTTAATAAAGAGGACATCAGTAGACTTCTGCTTCCTATCATGTCCAAGATTACATGAAGCATATATCTCATTTCATTGCAAAAGACAAATATTTGATACTGTTCACTGATATTTCCTTCAAAAAACACAGCTGAGACATAAACATAATATGTAGATAAATAAAACAGGACTGTCACTGGTTTCCTCAATTTAATAAACCAGGATAGCAAGAAAACAAAGAAAGCAGATTTATGCTAAAGAATTTTGCTCTTGTTGCAACTTGTATATGGAGTCTGAAATTTCTATTGGTAACATCTACTTTCCTTAAAATATTGTTGGATGTACAGAAAAGCCAAATCTGTGTTATACATGTGCATATACTCAGGTACACATATGCACACACTATAATAAAAAAGAACATGTGTCTTGATTGTCATTCTTTGAGGTATGACTGTGTCACTGTTATTGTCACTATTGGGGAGTACAAATGAAGAAACATAAGAATTGTGTGAAGCCTACAATTTACACATTCCCCTGACATCGTGGGTTTTCCTATTCCTTATCCAAGGGAGAACAAGCCTGGATGCACTGGAGTTCCTGCTCATGAGCAGAAAAGGGCTGAGAGTTGGGAAACTCCCAGCAACTATTACACCCATCTTTACCAGCAGCCAGTGGGGATTATAAATAAAAATTACACAAACCTGAAAGATGCAGGAAAGTGTGTAAAAAGATGCAAAAGTGCTCACCAGGAGGAGGATGGTTTTGGTGGCTCTGGTCTCAGGGGAGGACCTGGGGGAGCTGGTCTTGTGAACATGCTGCATTCTCTGTTTGTGCCTGTGCAGGATGAGCACCATGGAGCTGCTGGCCCAGATCATGAGCCCCACACACAGGGCATCAGGGAAGGTTAGCAATGCTGCATACAGTGATTGTAAGGTTTTGCTAGGATGAACACCAGAACAGTATTCAAAATCTTTCATGCTTGTGATATTATTGTTGCTCCTTTTTCCAGTCATTTGTGAAAAAGTCATAGTACTTACAAGCAGGTACAACATCCAGCTCAGGAATATGGAGAAACCAATGTATTTGGGAGATTTCACTTTAAGCTCTGAACAGCTGGAATTCTCAGGACTAATCTTCATGGCCTGAAAGACACTCAGGAGGCAGGTGCTGCCAATGGACACACCCCTACCCACTCTGTGAAGATAGAAAAGCAGCTGGCATCCAAAATCATTGAGGAAATCTTTCACTCCAAAAGCTGCCACTGTCTGGGGAACTCCTCTTGACAGGAGAGCTAACAAGTTGGCCACAATCAAGTGCTGAAGAATCAAGTCTGTGTGTCTTATCCTGTACCCAGTGAAGTAAAGGACCAGGTAATGGAGGAGAAGGGAGGAATTTCCCAGAGCTCCAACCACAGTCTGTGACAAGAAGATGATTCCTAGAGCCACATCACTGGCTGCCATCCTGCCAGTTCCCTGCTGTCTCAGCCAGAGAGTCCTGGAGAGAAACAAGAGGCCTGGGCTGCACGTGTCCTTCAACCGAGATCCAATATTGTCTTCACTCCAGAGTTAACACTGTGAAAACTTACCTAAGGTTTTATTTTTACTAGCAGGTTTTAATGAGGTTCATGACTAGTTCAGGCAGGCTGTGTATAAGTCCTTGTTGTGAAGGCAGCACATGGTGATTCCTGAATCCTCATGACACAACAAAGGGGCTGAGATGACCAGGAGAACTTGTGCACACACATGTCAAGTCTCTGTCCATATTCATACTCTGATCAGGTGCACAGAGGGGTCTTGGACCTGGATGAGTGTTTACAAAGAGCATAGCATGAACCATCAAGCTTCTGTAATGGTAATGAGCAGGTTCTTCTATCAATCCAGCTCACATTTACTTCCATTTGTCTATATTCCTATTGTCTTAAAACTAGGCTATTTTTCAACTTTTAATTGTAAAATGTTTTCATTTTTTGTAAATAGTTATTCTATGTACAAGGTCAGTTATGAAGGAACATTTAGATATTTAAATACCTGCAGGTGCACTGAGGGAACTCTAGCCCTGTAGGCACCTGTCCCATGGTCATCGACCTGCAGTGAGGCAGGACTGGCTTCACATAAGGACAGCTGCCCCATGACTCATGTAGTTGTATGTTAGGAACACAGCTCAGTGGCCCCTGTCACAGAAATTTTGCCTCAATCCCAGGCCATGTCCTAACTCTTGGAATACCAAGAAGTAACATGTGATTAAAGAGTATGTGTAGAAACAAAATATTCTCTTTTTCAGAAGATACAAACATGAGCTAAATAATACCTAAGAAAAAACATTTCAAAGAAGTAAGATTAGTGAATGATGTTACAATGGGAGCCATCTATGAAAACTGGTATTTGTGGCCATTTAAAAGTCAAATACTAGAATTTCTGCATTCATATAAATGCATATATTTAACTTAATTTATTAGGTAGAAAAATTTAGGTTCACATTTTACTGAACAGATGGTGAAGACCTTTCCTGCACATTCATACCCTGCTCCACAATCAGATTCCTATGCCACACGATGCATTCACTACAATCAGAAAATTTTTGACAGGCTAAAAATATACAGCTCTTACAGGTAATACTAGTAATCTGTAATAATCTTGTCCACTATTTCCATACATGTTCCTTTCCATAATATAGAGAAATGGCCTCACTATCCTTGAATTCTTAGGCTTTCAGGATTGCTACAATTACTCTCTCTGTTGGCTGCACCATGCTGAGAGTCAGAGAAAATGTTCTGCCTGAGCAGTCACCATCAGCTCTCTCTCTGCACGGGACTAACAAGTTTCCTGTCAGCTCCTCACGCTCCACACACAGGCAGGGAGATACTATGAGTCTGGAACTAGAAATCATGAAGATTTAGTGTAGACTTCCTGTGAGGGAAACTGAGCAGCTGGACGACTTTAAAACAACCTCCTTTTATATGTTGAAAATCACAGTTAATTTTTATTTGCACTAAACCACAGCAATCCCTGTGGGTAAGAATCACATATAGTTAAATTAGGATTACTGATGATTTGGCATTTAGGCTAGGACCCATTTATCTTTGCTACCTAGAGCCATTCTTCATCAACTGTTTTAATAGTTGTGTGGCTCTGGCTTCTGGAGGGTTCAACTGAGCATCCCTTTTCAGCTGTGATCACTTACCCAGACTCTTGATGGGTCTCTTCTCACAGATGCTGCTCTCACACTCACCCTGAGTCACTCTCCAGGCTCTTCCTCTCTGCCAGGCTGGTGACCTCAGTGCAGAGGCCTCTCTGACCAAAATGTCTGCTGCAGGGAGGTGGCCAGCTCCTGAGATATGGGTCTGTGACTCTGTGACCTCACCTCCCCTGGGACCTGCAATTACCCCTGTGCCAGCAGCAGCAATGGCTGTGCAGGCTGGGGGACCTGAGGACACTGCTGGAAACTTTCTCCCCAGGTGTCACTTATGAAGAACAATTTTAAACTTTCTTCATAACATGTCTTCAGAGGATATTCTAGTGTTTAGAGAGACTTTTACTTATCCATGATCCTGGGAGACCAACAGGGTGTCACTTGGAGGGGCTGAGAAATACTGAGGTCTGTCATATGAAGGGCTGGCAGTGAGCTCTGCATGTCTCATATTATTCCTTCCTTCCCTGGGAAGATTTCTACCCCAAATCTACTTGCTTTCTGTTCTTCATTTCAATGAACAGCACCAGATTGAAGTATGAGCAGAGAAATGGAAAGAGAAAAAACACATAGAAAGGATACTAACACAAGTACAAGAAAAAGAGAGAATTTGATGCTATTATCTCCTTGGAAGCCACCAGATTTATCTGCAAAATTATGTTAAAATTCAATGGACTCATTTACATATTGAATGTTAATTTATATCATTATTTTGTGAATAAATACGCCCTGCCATTATTGACCTCCATTACTGACAGGAGGGAGAAACACAGCAATATCCCTCAAACAAACAGAATGTAATAAAATTCTCCTTCAACAATGACATCAGCAGAATGAGTCTGCCTTTTCTGAGTAAAGATTTCTGTAAATACCAGATATTCCACAGCTACAAACATTAATTCAGTGGCCCCGCAGGGTGACCACAGCACAGAAGCCCTTTCAGTTACTGTACTCCCTCCAGCCCTGCAAGGACAATGTATACACTGAGGCACCTTAACTAATGCTGTGAGATTTACCATCCAGGTGAAAACCTGTGGTGTGAACAGGTGGGTTTTGGGCAGTGACACTAAATGGGAGTGAGACTGCAGTGGTTAAAAGAGTAAGGACATGAGGAAAGGGTGGACAGGGAAACAAGATGGCAGAGCTCCTGTGATATGGAGGAGAGAGAGTGCAAAAGAGATAAGGTAGATGCAGAAAAGGCAAAACTCATTACCTATCCAGAAAAAAGCTCATGGACATGCCTAGGTGTGGGCACAACTGGGGTGAGGAGCCAAGGGACACAAGGACATAGGGTTAACCAGGAAAGAGAGACATGGGGTGCAAGGTCACACAGGAATGAATATGCTTCTGGAGATGGGGACAGAATACAAAATAATGTTGCAGGTTGCTGGATGCAAAGCCTCTGAGGTGTTCAAAGCTACACCTGGTGGGAAGTTGTGAACACGGATGGGGGAACAGGGACTGCATTAATTAGTTGTCCAAAACAGACCCAGAGTGTGACAAAAAAGTGAGTCTATGCAGAGAGAATGGTCCTTGGAGGAGAAAAATTAGACAGAGAACAATTAAGGAGCAGGAAAGGTAGTGGGGAAAGAGCTAAGGGGGCCATGAGGCTAAAAGTGGAAGGAAACACAAATGTAAAAGTGTTCACTTCTAGATTTCAGGACTAATATGAGTCCCCACAACCATGTTGTGTAACTGAGTGACAAAAAGACACCCATGAAACAGGGAAAGTGTCTTGATTGAGTACCAGGCACACATAGAAGAAATAATATGAAGAGCTGTGCCCCAGGAGGAAGGTAGGACGATGGTCCTGGCTGCAGTCACTTTGGAGACTGAATTGGGTGTTGAGAAGGCTGAGAGTTGACCTTGGACATTTGGTTGTGTGGTGCCCAGGGGCCCTGGGTACAGACTGAGGAAATGGAGTTGAGGGTGAATACAAGAGAAGACAGAGCTCTGATGATGAGTCTTGTTGGGCTAATGGAAGGCAGAAGGGCTGTCCTGAGACCCTAGGAGAGACATCACTGAGGAATGGACATTAAATATGTCACAACACAGCTGTGTGGGGGTTGGGAATGGAATGGATTCATGGCTCTGAGGGATGGGGGAGCTTCAGTATATGGCTACAGCTCAGAGTGAGGAGCCAAGTCTCCCTGAACAGTAGGGAAACATGCGATCAGACTCAGCCCTGCTTATGGAGGTGGGACTGACAACTGAATTTGTGTACATTTGTGGTGTACAACATGAGGAGCTCACATGGGTAGATACTGTGGAGTGATTACCAGAAGCCAATTAATTTACCTACCTATCATGCAACATGTTCAACTTGAGTGGGGACATTTAAGATCTCTCAGCAAACTTCAAGAACACAATCTTGCCTTGCTAACTGCAGTTTCTATGTTGCACAGCAGATCCCAGAGTTCATTTATGTGGTAATGGAACTCTGTGCACTTCCAACCAGCTCCCCATGTCTCTCACTACACACCTCTTTACAATACTCATTCCACTCTGTTTCTGTGAAGTTTACTCTTTTAAAAGTCACATGGAAGAGATCAAAGAGTATTCTTATTTTGTTGTGTGTTTTTTTTATTTTGACAATGCTGGGGATTAAACCCAGGGCCTTGGGCATCTGAGACAGGCACTCTACCAACTGCACTATACCTCAGCCCCTCCAAGAGTATTTTCATTTGTCACTTCCATACTGCCCTCCAGGATCATTGGTCAGCACAGTGGCAGGATTTCCTTGGTAGAAGGCTCAGTACCTTTCCCCTGAGTGTTGATGGACACACCACCTCACCTACACACCTGCAAACTCTGGTGGACACCATGTCTCACCTTTCTGCTCTCTTTCCTGTCGTGAACAGTGCTGCAGTGAACCTGGAGGTGCAGACATCTTGTTGACTATGAATACTTGCCTTTAGATGCACAGCAGGGAGTGGGATTGCTGCCCCACAGGTGAGTTTTACTCTACATTTTCAGAGGCATCCTCCTGCATTTTTCCATGGTGTGTGTGACACGTTACCTGATCTCTGACATAATCTCCCCAAGGTTGACTTGCCCCATATTCCTGCCAACACTTGTTTTCTCTGGTCTTTTTCATATTAACCATCCCAACACTTGTGGGGTAATATCTCCTTGTATTTTTGTGCATTTTACTGATTAGTCAATATAAGCATAATTGACATATTTTCTGACCACTCTTTCTCTTTGAAAATCACATGTACTCTATATTTCACCCAAGTTTTGAAAATTATAACTTTTACTGTGTATATTAATG